GTGCTGGGGATCGAACCGCGGTCCCTGTGCTTTGCCAAGCTTGTTTCAAGTAGGTGCTTTAGACCACTGAGCCATCTCTCCAGCCCCCAGCTAGGATTTCTTGAAGATTATATGAGGAAGATAAAAGATCCAGTACAGAATGGGTTAGACATTAGAATTTTTTTTTTTTTTTAATCTTTTAAAATTGTTTCAAGGGGCTGGAGAGGTAGCTCAGTAGAATAAGTGCTTGCCTGGCAAGTTCAGGGTCCCGAGTTCAGTCCCTGGTACCGCAAAAAAGGAAAAAAAAACAACAACAAAAAAACCATTTCAAGACTGGTTTTGGATGTCCTTTTCGCCCTGAGGGGAGTGGCTAAGCAAAGATATTTTGAAGAAGTAAATATTTAGGGAATAATTGTGTTTCTTTGTTCTAGGGTTATTCCTAATTGTCAATTCAGGTCAAAAACAGCACGTCTTAAAACATTTACTGCTAACCAGATTGATGAAATAAAAGACCCTTCAGGACTCTTTTACATCCTTCCTTTTCAAAAGGTAATGCAATCATGTGGCATTTCTAGCATTAGAAACCTAAATTGAAATGTGATTTTTAGTTATACATACAAGACACTTTGGATTTCTGAGAAGAGTTGACTTAAATGTTAACCAAGATCTGTTTAAAACCCAAAGTAGAAATTGAATTGCCATGGTAACAATGAATGACCGTCATTTAGCTACTGATTTTGAATGCTGAATTTTACTTTTGTTAAATTTATTTATTGGGGTCGGGGAGATGGCTCAGTAGAATAAGCACTTGTCTGGCAAGTGCAAGGGCCTGAGTTCAATCCCTGGTTCCGCCAAAACAAAACAAAACAAAAATAATAATAATAAAATTTATTTTCATTTATGTATTTGGTACAGCTCGGACTTGTAGTGATCCCCTGTTTTCAGCCCCCCCAAGTGCTGACATTACAGGCTGCACCACCTCGCCTGGATTGGTGGCTCAGTGCACCCTGGGGGCAGGGCTGGTGTGGCATTTGGTGCCAGGGATCAAACCCTGGTCCCTGTGCTTGCCAAAGCAGGTGCTTAGTCTGCTGAGCTATCTCTCTGGCCCTATTTTTGTTAAATTTACATAGGTAATATCACACACACTAAAACAAAAATATAGAAAATACTTTTTTTTTATATTAGTGTATCATTCACACTTTGGTTATTGTTCATTTGTAATTTTTTGAACTCCTTTAAGGACAAAAATAACAATGTAATTAGTTTGAAATTGACACCACATTAATCCAAAAATTACATTAGGCGTAGACATAGAGAACATACACATAAACCATTAGACTAAATGATATAGAATTGATATTAATCTGATTTTTAAAAATTGTTCTCAATGGAACACCCATCTCTGACAAAGCAAAACAAAAAAGGGGGATATATTAAAGGACCGAGGACCAGGGAGGTGGCTCAGTAGAATAAGCACTTCCCTGGCAAGTGCAAGGGCCTGAGTTCAATCCCTGGTTCCGCAAAAATAAATAAAT